CGCTGAGCGCCGCCTGGGTTGCTAGGACGCTCAGTGGTGCGAAGCGTGGCTTCTGAGGTCGGCTCGCTAGTGTGGGAATCCCAAGTCCCTGCTCTGCTGGGTAACCCTAAGCAATGCTTCACTTCTCTGAGGTTCCACTTTCTTGTTCGACTTGTAATCATTGTAGAATAAGGGCAGTGGAACCACCGCGGGGCTTTTGTGAGGACTGCAAAGGTCTCGGTGAGCAAACGCTGATGTAACAGTTGTCTGACACATACTTGCTGATATGTTACGCCCGGAGTGTGAGATTTGTGTGCCGGGGTCTGCAGGGCTGGAGGGTTCCTGCTGCGAGATCCCTGCCCCCGCTGCGCTTGTCCGAAGTGTCCTTTCAGTGTCCCCAAACCCCCGAGCAGCCTTTGTGCCCCGGCACTTGGAGTGGCAACTCCCAGCCGAGTAGTGTCCCACTCGCTGAGGTTGGCGTGGTCCCATTTTACCCGCACAGGATGTCAGGCGAGGTCACAGAGCCATTGGTGCCAAAGGCAGCTGCTGCGGGGAGCCGGAGTGCCCGCACCCCATCTCCGCTGTTTGTCCAAGGCTCGGGCAGAGGGCCCCGCGGGGGCAGCGGGGAGAGAGCTCAGACCAAAGAAGGTAATTCCAAATGTGTCCTCCCCTTTGAAAGGAAAGAGTATCTGCTGTGCCTCCCCCTTCAGGGACCTTTTAACCGACTCTCACAGGAGCAGTTACTCGACAGTCCGCCAGTCCCGATGGGGCGATGCTCCTCTGATATTCGTTGGTTCATTCATTCATTTATTGACTCCTTCGGCCTTTAGTTATTCACTCAACAGATATTTACTGAGACAAAGAAAGACTTGAAGCGGAGGGCTCTGCTGACCCCCACCATTCCGGGTTCCCAGTGGAGTAATCCGAAGTGCAAGGAAGGTCCTGGCATGTCAAGGGCAGTGGGAGAAGATTGGAGAAAAACAGTAAACCAAGGGAGCCTTAGCTGCAGGAGAAATAACACGCAGAGGCCAGGGCCAGAACCAGCCTTCCGCGCCCTGGAAGTTGCCAGATGGCTGCAAGGGTGCCCTGTGTCTTTGGGAGGAACTGAGTGGGGGTGGCTCAGCTTTCAGCTGTGGATGGATGGGTGGGTGGGTGGACGGATGGGCCAGCCCATAGACGAACAAAGGACGGAAGGCACAGCACACAGAAATAATCAGCTACACTTGTTAGCGTTCTCCTCAGAAAGGTGTGTCTGAAGAGACTAGGAGATGGGCTCAGGTGGCATTTTTCTTGAGGCAGAAGACTTGCCCAGAATATTCTCACGTGGTTGCAGGCAAACCCACTGGCACTGCCTCCATCGCAGGCACACACTCCCTCTTTCTGAGTCCAACTCTAAGGTACAACGTAGGAGAGCAGGTTCCAAGGACACAGGCGGATTCTGGCCGAGGACTTCAAATGCTGAGCCCCAGTGCTCTGGGTCTGAAATCCCTTGGAGGCTGGGGAAAGGCTGAACAATGAGGCAGTAATTAAACAAGTAATTACCAGTGTGGCTCAGTGGTTGGCCATCAACCTACAAACAGGGAGGTCCCAGTTTGATTTCTGGTCAGGGCACATGCCCTGGTTGCAGCTAGATCCCCAGTGTGGGGCGTGCAGGAGGCAGCCAATTGGCGGTTCTCATCATTGATGTTTCTCTCTCTCTCTCCCTCTCCCTTCCTCTCTAATATATACATATTATATATCTATCTATATCTATCTATATATAGATAGATAGATATAGATAGATATATAATTTTTTAAAGGTGTGTGTGAGTAGATGGTCAGAGGCAGCACCCAAAGAAAGCAGGAGGCAATTTTTTGTGTCGAGTGCACACAGCGCAAAGGTTACAGAGAATATTGCGTAAGTGCAATTATACCCGTCTTGGGGTCATTCCTCCTCTGATCCCACCCCACGTGTCTCACTTCATATCGTCTTCCCCTGGGTCTAGGCCTGAAATTGGGGGTGGGGAGAGTGGAGGGGTTGCTGCCCCATCTGGGTGTTTGCAGGCAGCTTCTAGGCACAGGGATAGAAGCAGCCTGCTCGCTTGGAATTCCTCGGCAAAAGTGCACCTCTCAGCCCCCAGGTCACATGGTGCTTTCATTCATTCATTCATTCATTCATTCATCCAACGCACATTTTACGAGTGCCTACTAAGTGGCAAGCACTGCACTGCTCTGAGCGAACTCACTGTTGCCACGCAGCTTCGAAGAGGCCAGCCAGCGAGCCCTTAATTTTGTTGTTTGATTCATGAAGAGGGAGAGGGAGAGCAACTCGCCATCCACAGCGAGAAGAAACCAAAGATGTTGGGAACTGGTGCCTTTGCTGGGCAGTGGAAAGACCGAGGTCTGAGCCCTGGTTTTAATATTTTTCCACAAATATTTGGCATGGCAGAGACTGCCCCTGGGGAACCTCCAACTAGTGAGATCGAGATGAACACCCACCCTGGCAACCAGACAACCATGAAGCCCAGGGCGTAGATGCTGCAAATTGAAGCACCAAAGCAAACTGGGACAGATGGGAAGGCTTCCTGGAGGAAGAGACTCTAGGCAGAACCCCAATCATTGTTGAGACAAAAGTGCAGCAGGGCCCTGGCTGGTATGGCTCATTGGTTGAGCATTGCCCCATGCACCCAAGGGTCACTGGTTGGATTCCTGGTCAGGGTACACCCAGGTTAGATTCCAGGTCAGGATGGGTGTGAAAGGCAACCAATCTATGTTTTCCTCTCTCTCTTTCCCTTCCTCTCTCTCTCTCTCTCTCTCTCTCTCTCTCTCTCTCTCTCTCTCTCTCATCAATACAAATTATTTTTTAAGTGCAGCAGTAAGATGGGGGGGGGGGGGATCCAGAACTTGGCAGGATCCAAGAACTGAAAGAAACTGGCTGGACAGCAGCCAGTTGGGACGATGGCAGGCTCAGCTCACCCCCTTTTTGCTATCTGAGTTTGGAAAGTGAATTGGTGTCTCTGAGTATCAGTTTACCCATCTGCCAAATGGGCTTGACAAGGCAAGCACCTCCAGATTGTTGGGGGTGTCCAGGAGGACGGCCTGTGGATGGCTTCCACACAATAGGTGCTCAACAAATACAAGATCCTCCTGGGGCTTAGATCTGGGAGCCAGAAAGGTGGGTGGACGGGCAGCAGGAGAGGGGCTCAGGACTGGGCACCCCTGGCCACTGTTTGAGGAGCATCTTTATTAACATGCACTTCAAGGTAAGCGGCGATGGAGACCAGATGTGGGATCACACAGTCACACTGAGGCATAAGTGGGGATGATGTTGAGGGGAGAAGCACAATCCCCGCCCCCACCACCCCGTTATTTTTCTTTGAGAGACCTTAGGTGCAGAAGATTGCTTTCTGGCCTGCAGTCCTGGGTTCAGGGCGCTCAGGCCCTCATTCTCCTTTGCCCCCTCAACTCTGACCCCACTCCCAGTCTCCTTTGAGGAGTTCTGTGCAGAACTGTGCAATCGCGCGCCAAGCACCCTGAGCTAGGTACCGCCTCCATCCGGGGATTTTCCCTGCACTTTATGGAGAGCTTCTCTAACCGGTCTCCTTCAACGGAGTCGTTCCACAGAGGGGAGATCCGTTTCCCCTGTTCTTTGCATTTTCTCTGTCCAAAAGGTCCTCCCAGGTTGGTGAAGGGGCTAGCTTCAGCCTGGGCTCCCAGGCTACCTCCGAGCTGTGTGACCTCGTCCAGGTGATCGCACCTCTCTGAGCCTCCATCTGCTCGTCGGAAAGTTGGGGACCCCGATCTCCACCACTCCCTGTTAAGTGTGGAAGGGGCTGTGGCTGGTCCCAGGGCCCGAGGCACGCGTCGGTAAAGGAAACCACAACCCATCAAACCAGAGATTACAGACCGCCTCACCCCCACCCCAGCAGTGAGCAGGTGACAGCGCAGCGACCGGGCGATGCCAGCGGGTCTCCAAACCCCACGCTCTCCACCCGGCCAGCCAGAGAGTCCCCTGGGCTGGGCGCAGACCTGAGGTGCGGGCGTCTGTTCGCGGCGAGGAGGGGCGAGCAGGGCAAGAGGCCGCGCTCTGAAGCTTCTGACCCCCGGCCCAGCGGAGGGCTTCTCCCGTGGCTGAGTGAGCACAAGGCCCTCGGCGCCCCTACCCCGCGCCCTCACCGAGGAGGGAAACAGCCAGACGTGAAAGGGGCCGCGCACAGGCCGGCAGCGGCGTGTGTGTTAATTTCACGGAGGAACCGACCGTGGGGGACACAGGCTGGAAACACAGAGGAAAAGGCACCAACGGGGAAGCCGGCAGCTGCGCCGCCCAATTCGCGCAGAAAGTGTGCAAACGAACGCCTGCACCCCAGGCTAGCGGCCCATCTGATTCCGAATGTCAAAACCTGTTAGGTGTTTTGGGGTTTTGTTTGTTTGCTTGTTTGTTTTTTAATCTGTCGCTCAAGTTTTGCATGCCCCCCTCCCCTAGGCCAAAGCTGGGACCAGATCACTTCAGCGCAGCCTCGGGAGCCCTAAGGGTCCTGACACCTCCGCGGCCCCGCGCCTCGGGTAGAATCCTTAAGATTCTCCACCACCGGAGAGAGGAAAGAAAGCGCAGGGGCAGTGGAGGGAGAAGAGGGAGAAGGGGAGGGGGGGGTGAGGGAGAAAGAAGGGATTCCGAGGGGGAAATTCACTCTCTATTCCCCCCGCCCCCTCACCCCTTCAAAAAACCTTAAGAGGGTTTTGGGAGATCTGGTCAACTTTCTGAAACAGCTGAATCTTTTTACAGCACTTGGTTCTTTTCCTGGGCCAGCTGTGGAGGGGAGGAGGGAGAGGCGAGAGGAAGAGAGAGAGAGAGAGAGAGAGAGAGAGAGAGAGAGAGAGAGAGAGAGAGAGAGAGAGAGAGAGGAGGGAGGAGGGAGAGGGCGCAGGCCCGCCCGGAGCGCACAGCCACAGCCTCCTCGCTTCTCCAAACTCCCGGCCAGGGCGCGCGGTGGCGTCCTCGCGCTCTCGCTCGCGCCCCCGCCCGCCGCCCGCGCTCGCCCGGCATGAACGCGGAGACTTGCGTCTCTTACAGCGAGTCTCCGGCCGCGGCCATGGACGCCTACTACAGCCCGGTGTCGCAGAGTCGGGAGGGCTCGTCACCTTTCCGGGCGTACCCCGGCGGCGACAAGTTCGGTACCACTTTCCTGTCCGCCGCCGCCAAAGGGCAGGGCTTCGGGGACGCCAAGAGCCGGGCTCGCTACAGCGCGGGGCAGCCGGACCTGGTGACGCCCCTGGAGAGCGGCGCCGGGGCGCGGGGCTCTTTTAACAAGTTCCAGCCCCAGCCCCCCGCCCCGCAGCCGCCGCCGGCGCCGCAGCCGCAGCCCCAGCCGCCGGCGCCGCAGCCGCACCTCTACTTGCCACGAGGCGCCTGCAAGACGCCCCCGGACGGCAGCCTCAAGCTCCAGGAAGGCAGCGGTGGCCACAACGCGGCCCTGCAGGTCCCCTGCTACGGTGAGTGCACGTGCGGGTCCCTCGAGGCGGGGGACCCCGGGGCCCGTGGCTTCGGCGCCCTGGAAACCTATCGGGCTTGCGGGTGGCAGGAGCTGTTGGGCTGAGGAGGTGCGGGGCCGAGCAGCGGCGACTCCCGGTAGAGAAATGGGGATCCGCTGCTCCCAAGGCGCCGTCTTGCCCCTTCATCTCTCCCTTCGCCAAGGCCAGGAGCGTTTGAGCTGTTGAGCCCGACTTGGAGTTTGTGTCCCCCCTTCTGTGCTGTTTCCCCGACCACTCGCTTTGCGCTGCCTTCGGGCCGGCTCGGAAGCGGCTGTTCCGCCCGGCTCCCGGCTCCCGGCTCCCGGCTCCCGGCTCCCGGCTCCCGGCTCCCGGCTCCCGGCTCCCGGCGGGAAACAGTTGCGGCTCAGCGCTCGGGCGCAGGGTCCCCGGCGGCCAAGGCCTCGCTCCCCGCCGGCCTGGAGGCTCCTCTGGCGGCGCCACAGGTGGGAGCGTCGCAGGTGCGGAGCGCGGTTGGAGCGCAGCCGTCGGAGCGCGCCCGGGATGCCGTGGAACAGGGACGCCGCAAGGATTCGGGTCCGGAGTCGCCTGGGGCCGCGGAAGACCCGAGTCCAGTGGCCACCCGAGCGCGGCTCGCCGCCGGGCGGTGGGCCGGCCAGGGATCCGGAGCGTTTCTCTCTAGGCCAGCCGCGGAACAATGGTTTAGGGGTGACCGCAGGCAGGCAGAAAGCCGAAGATCAGGAGGGACTCAGTGCGGGAAGAAGAGAAAAGTTTCTCTGTATGGACTTGGGCCCACAGGGAACCGAGGCCTGAATGACCTCTGGCCCCTGGAACGCAGGCCTGGGCCCCAGAGCTCAGCGACCATGGTGGAGAAGGGGCCTCTCTCAAGGGCGGCCTGAGCCAGAGCAGTGTGAAGCCTAAACCCTGTCTTCCACAGACTGGGAATTGGTGAGCCCCGAGCTGGGAACCAGGGAAATGGAGAGGGGAGGGGAAGTCTTCTCTGGACTAGGAACTCTAGGTACACAGTCTCCCCCTGAGGCCTCGGGCAGGGCCCTGGAGATGGGCCGGTGCTGACAGGGCAGTGGCTTCGTCTGAGCCGACCCAGGCCAGATGGAGAGGCACCAGGCCTAGGGACAGAAGTGGGACATGGTGGAGGCCTTGGCAGTGGGATAACCTTAGGAAAGCAGCCCAAGGCGAGCACTTTCTTGCACTCAAACGGGCTCTCCCTCAGGCTCAGAACTAGTTCATTAGGTGGTTGTTGACACGCACAAAAAATCGCACCATCATACCCCTGTCTACACTTGCATTCTACACACACACACACACACACACACACACACACATAACCTCTTCCTCATGAGCCAACGTGGTCACACATCAGATACACTCACTCGTGGTCACACATCAGATACACTCACTCGTGTGGCCTCGGCACACATAGTCACACACTCCCAAACCCATAGGGCAGGACTGAGAGCAGATTTAGAAGGATCCGGCAGCCTTTCCCCACTTCCTCCACCTTCCTGTTGGAATGAGATCAGATGCATTCAGATCACAGCGGCTCACAGCGCACACAGGTGCTCCTTCCACTCTCCGCAGCCGGCTTTTGGCCCTGTCCCCATGCACCCCATGCACCGGCCTGCCTCCTGGCCTCGCCCAGGGCCCTCCTCATCCATGACAGTTGGGATTGTTAAGTGAGAGCAAGTCACAAACTGGGGGCCCCATGGAGGCGCACTGTGCACCCCCAGGACTGCGTGCTTTCTCTTCCACTGCACTGGGTTTTCATGCTTTACTAGTAAAGAAATGCGCCGGTGAGGCTGCAGAAGAGGCTTACACTTTAGGCAAAGGGAGATCCCACGTTGCTTCCACATTCTTCTTTGGAAAATGCCTTCAGGTCCAGAGGAAAAGGGATAAGGGCTGGCCCCCTCCAAGCACCCCCTCTGAGCCCCTCTGGGCCTTCCTTCACATGCCAGCTTGGCCTTTTCTCTGTTAGCCATTGGGGCTGCCCACAGTGTGACCTGACAGCAAGTAACTCCCCCACACCCCAGTCCCCAATAGTAAGGCTTATTGGGTGGTAAATGTCCCCCAGGGAGAGAGGAGAGAGCAGGAGTCTAGCCTACCCTCTTCCACATTTCCATCGCCGAGGGAGGGGGGCTCAGTGCTGTTGGGAATCTCAAGGCACCCAATTCTGAGGACAGGACAGGCGCCTGCCCCCGCTGTGGGCAAAGCCATAAGCTGAAGGTTGGGACAAAAGGCAGGCAGACAGGGCCCCACTCCCTGGCTGCCCCAGGTGGAGGCACTACTCAGGGCAAAGCCACAAACAACCAGCAGCTCTGTTTCCTCTTTCCCTCCTCTCAGCACCAAGTTTCCCTGCCCCGGAGGAGATCTCTGGTCCTTGTACAGAAGTGATTAGGCACACGAGGTACAAGATCAGGAGCCCCAGGCACCAAGAGGTGAGGCTCTGCCCTTTCCAGAGGCGCCCCAGATGAGCCTCTGGGGTAGACTCTAGAGACCGCCAGCAGGAGGGGAACTGAGGCGTGTTCCCTCCCTCACTTGTCAGACTGTATGTTCAAAAGGGGAGAAATGAGGTTGGAGGAAAAAGCCTTGGGATGTTCCCAGGAGCTCGGGGAAAATGGGGACAGACAGGGCCCCGGCGCTGGGCTTGGCAGACCTCGGGCCTGACCTCAGGTAGCTTCCACCTCGCAGCCTCCTTCCCAGCTCTGTTGGTCGGGGCGGAAGCCAGTAACTACACCGAAGTTCCCTCCCGGCTCTCAGCCCTGGGAGCCACTCCGCGAGATCGAGGGGCCTTCCGCTACAGAGGTGCGAGCCTGGGGGTGGGAGCCGCCGCCTGCATGTGCGGAGGGAGCGCGCGGCAGGGCAGCCGCCTTGGTCTCCGTCAGCGGGATTTCCTCCGAGTCGCCAGGAGTAGAGGTGAGACACCCTGGCCCTCTCTACCCCTAACCTGGCCTCGGTTTTCCGATCAGCACTGAACGGGCGAGGGCTCCAGGCGCAGGCGGTCCCCTGCAGCGCGGACACCTTCGCGTTTTCACCGAGAGTCCCACCGGGGTTTGGCCGGCTGCGGTCCCGACCTCGCCAGGCTCTGGGGCGCCGGGCTCCTCGGTCAGCACTTCGACCTTCCGACGTCCCTGCCTATCTTTGGCCCGTGTTTGAGCGCATGGGCCCCAGGAGACACGCCAGGTTGGAGACCCGACATTCCTCGCCGCCGCCGCCGCCGCCGGGGTGGGGGCTCAGGCACTTCGCCCTCAAACCCAGAGCCAGATCCCCGGGCCGCCCCAGGCGCGCCAGGCTCTGCCGTGCGCCCCCGACTCTTCTGGGAGCAGCCCCGCTTCCTCTCTCTTTCGCTTTCGATTCGGTGCACGCAGGTTTTCGTTGCTCGCGGATCGCCACCCTCCCATCCACCGGCGAAGGCAGCGCTCTCTGCGCAGAGGTCCCGCCCGAGGCCGCTGGGGCGCACTGAGGGCCGGTCCTGGTTTGTGGAATCAGACGCAATGTTCGAAGCTCGGGGTATTGGTTTCCCCGCACGGACACAATCACACACCACAAAATTGTCAGCTCTGCCCCAGTCGGGTGGTATTTGAATTTAGTCAAAGAACCAGCATGGGTTCTTGAATGGGTCCCCAAAGACGTGGGGAAAGGAGATGCTGGCGGGAGCAGTCAGCTCGCTGGTGGTGAGGGGTGGGCCAGGGAGCGCTGGCGCCTGGAAGCGGTGACATCCCGACCCCCGTCAATTTTGGAGGAGAGGGAGCGAAGGAAGATGCTTTTAATTTTCTAGTTTTATAATTTCGATAGCCGCCAGCCTGCACCAAAAATCCCGCTTAAGCACTTACCTTCTTAAAGAGAAAAACAGAAGGCCTGGGTTAAAGAGCTAGTATTATTTTAAATCGATCGGTTTGGACGAAGTTTTCTTTCTTACGAATAGTGGACGCACAGTGAAGTCCGCGCGGCTAAGTGGGGAGTCCGTTGGGAGAACGGCTGCGAGTGTGCACAGTGTTGTAACCACCACCTGGACCCAGCGCCCCTGTCTGTGTTGTGTATATACACACGGAAACTTTTGGGGGACATTTTGGGTAAGTTGTTCTAAGAAAATTGCAGAAGAGACCTCGGTGAGCTGGGGACCACGCCTGTGCCCGTCGGTGGCGTTTTCTTAGTTGGATGACTTTGTCCCGCGTTTGCGAGGTCCCGACGCCGCTGCGGCCCGAACCTCGCCGCCTCCGCCGCAGCCGCCACCGCTGTCGGGCTACCGCGGGGATGCCAAACCCCGAGCGGTGCACGCCGCGGCCCGGAGCCGCCGTAGGAAAACTAGTTAAAATACACGCATCCAATCCAGCCAGAGTCCCCGAGGACTTTCGCTTTGGAGAGAGGCTGGGCGCACTCTCCCAGGGGACATCCCTCTCGTTATCTTGGCCTCAGCCCTCTTCTCTCTTCCCGCAGCTCTGCGCGCGCACGGCTTTGTTTGGGTGGCACATGGACACATTGAAATTCGAACTGGAAATACTGCAATCTTTGCAGATACGGGGGTGAAGGGAGGTTGGGCTCCCGCGTGTTTGGCTTCTCCGCTGCCCCCTGGACCAGGTGCTGGAAGCCGCAAGCGGGGAAAGAAAGGGGAGGCTGCTGGAAGCGCCCACGGCACCGCGGGCATGAAGCGGGAACGGTTGAGTGCACCGTGCGCCGTTCCCTGCGAGCAGGGGGAGCTGGGAGAAAGCTTGGCAGGAGATGTTTCCTCCGCTAGGCGCTTCAGCATCCTCAGCTCCCACGACCCCCAGGGACCTTGGCCCAAGATCTCACTGTCTTGGGATAGTGAGATCCCAGTCTGTGCCTGGGCCCGCCTGCCAGGCGCCACCTGCCCTCGTCCTTCCCGCAACAGCTGCGGGTGCCCGGGAATCGCTAAGGGGACTGGGGAGCCACCAGACTAGGAAACCAAGACAGCGAGGTCCCGGCTACATGAAGAAGTGACATCGGCTAACCAACCGATGTGTTAAAAA